ATAATTAGTGATGTTGAGCATCTTTCCATATGCCCGTTGTCCACCTGTATGTCATTGGAAAAATGTCTATTCAAGTCCTCTACCCATTAAAAATATTTTAAATATGAAATTGTGTAAGTTCTTTATATATTTTGGATATTAAACCCTTATTGGATATATGACTAACAAATGTCTTCTCCCATTCAGTAGTTTGCCTTTTTATTTTGTCAATGTGTTTCTTTGCTGTGCGAAAGCTTTTTAGCTTGATGTAATCCAACTTGTTTATTTTAGCTTTTGTTGCCCCTGCCTGAGGAGACTCTTATACCAAAGTATTGCTAAGATCAATGTCACAGAGGTTACTGCTTATATTTTCTTCTGGAAGTTTTATGGTTTCAGGTCTTACATTAAGTCTTTAATCCATTTTGGGTTTTTTTTTGTTTTTTTTTTTTTTTAAATTTTTTTTAATGTTTTATTTATTTCTAGGAGAGAGAGAGAGAGACAGCATGAGCAGGGGAGGGCCAGAGAGAGAGGGAGTCACAGACTGAAACAGGCTCCAGGCTCTGAGCTGGCAGTCAGCACAGAGCCCGACGCGGGGCTCGAACCCACGAACCGCGAGATCGTGACCTAAGCGAAAGTCGGACGCTCAACCGACTAAGCCACCCAGGCGCCCCGTCTTTAATCCATTTTGAATTTGTTTTGTATATGGTGTAAGATAGCGGTCATTCTTTTGCATGTAGCTATCCAGTTCACTCAATTCCATTTACTGAAGAAACTATCTTTTCCCCATTGTATATTCTTGCCCCCTTAATCTAGATTAATCTATAGACCATAGAAGTGTAGGATTATTTCTGGGCTTTCTATTCTATTCCATTGATGTATACTTGTTTTCATGCCAGTACGATACTGTTTTGATTACTACAGCTGTGTAGTAAAGTTTGAAATCAAAGACTGTGATAACCTCCAGCTTTGTTTTTCTTTCTCAAGATTGTTTTGGCTATTTTGGGTCTTTTGTGGTACCATACAAATTTTAGGATTCTCTGTTCTAGTTCCGTGAAAAATGCCATTGGTATTTTGATGGGGATTGCATTGAATCTGTAGATTACTTTGGGTAGTATGGACATTTTAACAATATTAACTTTTCCAGATCATGAGCACAGTATATTTTTTTCATTTATTTGTGTCATCTTAAATTTCTTTCATCAATGTCTTACAGTTTCAAGGTACAGGTCTTTAATTTCCTTATTTAAATTTATTCCTAGGTATTTTATTCTTTTTGATGCAGCTGTAGATGGGATTGTTTTCTTAATTTCTCCTTCTGATAGCTCACTTTTAGTGTATAGAAATGCAACCAACTTCTGTATGTTAAGTTTGTATCCTCATTTGTTAGCTCTAAGAGTTTTTGGTAGAATTTTTAAGGTTTTCTATATATAGTATCATGTTGCTTGCAAATAGTGACAGTTTTACTTCTTTCTTTCCAATACAGATGTCTTTATTTCTTTTTCTTGCCTAATTTCTATGTCCAGGACTTCTAATAACCATGTTGAATAAAAGTGATTAAACTGGGCATACTTATTCCTGATCTTAGAGGAAAAGCTTTCAATTTTTTCATTGTTGAGTACGATTTGGGCTGTGGGTTTGTCATAAATGGTCTTTATTATGTGGCGGTACCTATTTTCCTTACCAACTAGGTTGTGAGTTTGCTTATCTTTTAATACGTACACTTTTAAGTCATCTCCAATTAGCACTACAATTTTTGAGGACTTGGAGCTTCCCTTCAGTATACCCCTCTACACTTAACAGTATGCCTTACCCATAGTAGGTGCAGGTGGATATTTTCCTACTGTCTCTTTCTCCAACCAGATAATAAGGCTCCAAGAGGAGAGATCTCTGCTTACTTTTGCTCCTCATAGCCTGTGATCAACAAATATTTTTGGATGAATGAATTAATGATTTTCCAATGATTAGTTTGTGTCTTTAGATTTTTGTTCTCTCTTGCAGCAGAATGCATACAAGTTACGAATAATTTTTTTCCTAGTAAATAAGGAAGGGAAGTGATGAGTGAAGAGCAAAGATAGCTCCAGAGGATGATCTTAAACTAGCTTTGATTTTGCCACTGTATGATCCTACCATAGTCATTTTATGTTGGTCCTCATTAGCTCAGAACACACAACCAGGTTTTAAAAGAAAGGAAACCTGTTTAAGAAGTTTAGATTTGGGGCACCTGGCTTGCTCAGTCAGAAGAGTACGTGAGTCTTGATCTCAGGGTTGTGAGTTTGAGATTACTTAAATAAATAAGAGTTAAAAACAAAAGCACTATAGACTTAACTTAGGAAAATTTCTGATTTGAACCTTCCCCATCAGTGTTTCAGGTTTTTTGCCAAGAATTTAAAACATATCACAAATCAAAACCACACTGAGATACCACCTCACGCCACTCAGAGTGGCTAAAATGAACAAACCAGGAGACTCTAGATGCTGGCGAGGATGTGGAGAAATGGGCACCCTTCTACACTGTTGGTGGGATGTAAACAGGTGCAGCCCCTCTGGAAAACAGTGTGGAGGTTCCTCAAAAAATTAACAATAGAACTCCCCTATGACCCAGCAGTAGCACTGCTAGGAATTTCCCCAAGGGATACAGGAGTGCTGATGCATAGGGACACATGTACCTCAATGTTCATAGCGGCACTGTCAACAATAGCCAACACATGGAAAGAGCGTAAATGTCCATCAACTGACGAATGGATCAAGATGTGGTTTATCTATACAATGGAATACTACATGGCAATGAGAGAAAATGAAATCTGGCCATTCGTAGCAATGTGGATGGAACTCGAGGGTGTTATGCTAAGCGAAATAAGTTAGGCAGAGAAGGACAGATACCATATGTTTTCATCTATAAGTGGAACAAGAGAAACTTAACAGAGGACCATGGGGGAGGGGAAGGGGAAGCAATAGTGGGGGAGAGGGAGGGTGACAAACCATGAGAGACTCTTGAATACTGAGAACAAACTGAGAGCTGATGGAGGTGGGAGAGAGGGGAAGGGGGGTGATGGGCACGGAGGAGGGCACTTCTGGGGATGAGCACTGGGTGTTATATGGAAACCAACTTGACAATAAACTATAAAAGAAAAAAAAGAATTTAAAACCTATCAAATCCATAAATGAACTCATGCTAAATCAGTCTGAAGTTACCTTTTATATGTATTGGATCTTTGACTATTCTCTTGTCAAAGTGTAAAATTAATTTCCTGGCTTTTAACATATGTCATCACTTCCTATTGACAGACTTTGTCAGTGTTTGAAGGGTAAGCCACATTTTGAATAATGAGAAGAGGAAGTGTGTGTCTTGCTCATGGTTTCTGCAGCTCCAAAAGTGATTTGCAAAAAAAAAAAAAAAAGAAAGAAAGAAAAAGGCCTTTAGTACTCAATTATAGGGGAATATTGATTATTCTGTACTGATTCAATGAACTACTAAGTTGCAACTAAGTAACTTATGAAGATTATCAAGAAAGAAAAATATTTATGATATAATGTTAAGTATAAAAAGCAGATTATAGGGGCACCTGGATGACTCAGTCGGTTAAGCGTCCGACTTCGACTCAGGTCATGATCTCACGGTTCGTGGTTTCAAGCCCCACGTTGGGCCCTGTGCTGACAGCCAGGTGAGAGCCTGGAGCCTGTTTCAGATTCTATATCTCCCTCTTTCTCTGACCCTCCCCTGCTCACACTGTTGCTCTCTCTCTTTCTCAGAAATAAATAAAACGTTAAAAAAAAGCAGATTATATTATGCAGTGATTGAAACCAGGTACAATTATGTAGCACTATGAACTGGGGTGATCATCCATCTTGGTTTACCTCTGACTGTTTAGGCTTTAGCACTGAAAGTTCTGTCTCTCAGGAAATCCCTCAGTCCCGGACAGACTGGGATGGTCAGTCACCCTATTAGGAACAAATTGCCAAAGAGATAATTGGGGAGAAAAGTCATAGCAACAATTTTCATTCTTCTTTAACAAGACATTAATGGCATCTCAAAAGGAGCTACGTGAGGTCAGTACAAAACCGATTAAGATTTGAGATCATAAAAAATGAATAAAATAACTAATATAACATTATGTTAATTATACTTGAACAAAAAATATATATATAATGAAATTTCCTTTTTTTAAGGTTTTTTTTTTTTTATATTTATTTGAGAGACAGAGACAGCATGAGTTGGGAAGGGGCAGAGAGGGAGAGGGAGAATCCCAAGAGGGAGAGGGAGAATCCCAAGCAGACTCCACACTGCTTGCAAAGAGCCCAATGCGGGGCTCAAACTCATGAAACCAAGAGTTAAATGCTTAACTGACTGAGCCTCCCAGGCGCCCCAATAAAATAAAATAAAATTCTTAAAGACCAATGGTTTTGGAGAGGGATCCTCTATGTATATTTCAGAAATGGGGAAAATACTATAGAAGTGAAAGCCTGTCTTCTTTGAAGATTTTCTCATTAATTTTTTCCTTGGGTCTGCCATTGCTCTCTTCCCTTTCCTCTACTTAAGGCAGAAGTGCCTGCCACCTATTTCAGGAACCTTCCAGAGTGCTTACTGTGAGAAATTGGTTATTCACTTATTAAATCTTCTGTGAAAATTTTCCTTGGGATTGCACGTGTGTAAGAATACACTGACACCCAGGGGCACCTGGATGGCTCAGTCCGTTGAGCATCCAACTTCAGCTCAGGTCATGATCTCACAGTTCCTGAGTTTGAGCCCCATATCGGGCTCTCTGCTGTCAGCACAGAGTCTGCTTTCAGATCCTCTGTCCCCCTGCCTCCCACTCTCTCTGTCCCCCTCCACACTGTCTTTCTCTGTCTAAAATAAAAATAAAAATTAAAAAAGAATACACTGACATACATAGTTGATGTTCTGACATCCCACAGCTCAAACCCAAATTGGGTTTATGTGAATATAAACTGAAGGCTATAGGAGCCTCCCTGGTGGTCTGACGTTACAATAGACTGGGAAAACACTGTGTTGGAATCATCTGTTTTAGACAAGAACACAAATATAGTTTTATTTATTTAAAGCTAATTTTGAGGACTTTACATATAATGTTTCACCTTTTTTTTTCTAAGCACAGGAAATATCTTCAGTTGGTGGTCCCTAGCAAAGTAGAAATATCACAAGGAGGGGAAATTACTTTGTCTATTTACGTAACAGAATCTGGCAGCATTTAACATATAGAAAATGCTCAAATGTAATTGATAGATTACAGACATTCTTCCTATGTAGGTTACTAGTATCTCTGAATATGAACAGGAACTGAGAAATAGGGTAGCTATTGCCTGAGATTTGGCATCGTAACTAATTCCGTTATTTTCAAACGCGATCTTCTTTTCTGAGAATGTCCATATACTTAGTGTCTTCATTATGTCATCTAACAACTAAGTATATATTAATGATATGAGTAGTTTTCCAAATGTTGTGAATGTCTATGTCCTTTTATTCCTGAGAAGCAAAACTTGATTTCTGACTCCTTTGTGTCTCTCTGAACACCTATTTCGTGCTAATCGGAGAGCAGGTGCTTCTTAAAACCTGTTGACTTGGCTCAAGTTGTTTATACAGGCAATGTGGTTATTTCAAACATTATAGGATTTGAGTAAGAAGATCTGGGTAGGAAAGAAGGCTCTCAAAAATCACTAGCTGTGACCATTAACAAATTACCTTTACTTATTTTTAAGTTACTTAGGCTCTTTGAATCATTTGTAAAATATGGAGAGGGATTTTTTTTCTTGATTATGGAAGATCAAATGTAACTATCCCATAAACTACTCTGTGAAATGGAAATTACAAATACAACCGTTGATTATCATTTCAGATGTGGCTATTCATTATGGCATCTTCTTTGATTCTTTCTTCTCTTGCCTAAAGGCTGAGAGTAGACAGTGCAACCAAAAGCCTAGAGCAGGAGTCAGGGAAAGTTAAGACAGAAACAGATGTGCCCATTTATAAGCTGTGCTATTTGTATGAAGAAAGGGTTGGGTATTGGCCACTTGGAGGCTCCCTGATGGGGTGTGGACAGTCTAAGAATGTACCGCGGCGTCAGCCCCATAGAAAGATGGCCAGACTGGTTCCTTATTGCACCTCATTATCGTTAACTTTTTACTCTCCTTAGGATAATGGTGCAAAAGGGACTCCACAACCTATGTGGACGTGGAAGGAATTAAAGAAAGTGTAGGGATGGCCTGGACGGTGATTTATCTTACTCATCAGAGACAGAGTCTCTGGTTCAGAGGGACGAGGCAGATCATCTGCTCCCACTACTGCAAAGCCTCACCCAAGAAGGAGGCTGGTGAGAACTGACAGGTGTGCGGCGCTTACTCCACCCTGTTTGAATCTAAGGAAGCTGCCCCAGACAGGAAGCATGCCTACACGGTCGCCTGCCATGGCTGGGTTCTCTGCGTGAGAGAGCGAGCGAGAGCGAGCGGGTGTGAGTGAGCTGTGGTCACTCCGTGCAAAGGCCAGAGAGACGTGTGGAGGGTGCCTGCGGAGGGCCTCAGGAAATGAGGGTGACTACATCTCTTCGAAGCTGTGAATACTAATGCCTAAGAAAAAGAGACAGAAGACAGGAAAAGAGTAGTTTAAGGAATGCTATCGTTCTCTATTGGCAAAGATTCCTGTTCTGTGGGAGGTTCTGGAAAGTTCATTTCTGTTCCCTCCTCTTCTTCTTGGACTGGAATGATTTCAATGTCTTCATTCTTTGGTTGGGGAGGTATTTCAGTCAGCTCAACCGCTTCTTCTGTTACTTCAATTGGCTGTTCCTTTTTTTCTTCAGCAGCTAACAGGACAACTACATCCTGGAACACAAAATTGAACAAGCATTTCTGGACCTTTACCTTTGGCCATTTGTCAACAGTCTCTATGAATGTCTATCAAAGATCTGCTGTTTTCTATGCTGTTTATGTTATTTCCTATATGCCTCCAAATACCTGGGCTGATTTCCCAAGTGCTCAGATCCTTTCCAAATCACCTATCAAAGCTCATCTTCAAGGTGCGCAGATATTTGCCACTTTGCCTGGAATGATCACACAGTATTTGGGAAAGAACGCTGCAATAATAGAGGAATTTAGATTCAAGTTTTGAGTTGCCTTTTATTGGCTATAACCTTGGGAAGGTAATTGTCTCTCTAATCCTGTTTTTCTCATCTGCAAAATGAAGGAATTGTGACAGTCTCTAAATTTTATTGTAAATCTAACATTCTGTGGTTCTGAAGCAGTTGATAATAGATCTGTCATGGAGATATTTGCATCTTCCAATCGTGGAGCCTCTTTGACCTATAGCTTTGGAAGTGGGGTCTGATGAAAGGTGCCAGTGGGGTGGGGTGGGGAGGGGATATTGGGAAATGAAGTGGGCAAACCAATGCTTTCATCAGCCTGTCCTGCTTCTGCACGTTACGTGTGGGATTGCGAAATCAAGATGAACACCTGGAGTGAGGCAGAACTGAAGGCTAGTCAGTGCACATATTACAAGGCTGTATCCTCTGTCTAACCTTTAGATTTACTTCAAATTTCAAGACACTTTTTCCTCATTATTGGTATTTTCTGCTTTCCAGAAATCTGCCAAGACCACTTTTCGTGAAACTTTTAGTCTCAAAAGTTATGTTGGATTACATTCCCCAGAAACGATTTTTTGTAGACATGATTTCCTAGAGGGGCTGAGACACGGTGGCTACTACTACTTACAGCTTTAGGTTTGGAGCACAGTTTTTTCCATTCATTCTCAACAATGCCAGCTGTCACAAGTTTTTGGAATAAGGTAAAGATCACCATCACGGCAAAAATGCTCTGAAGAACACAGAAAAAGTGAGGGCAAGAATGTAATAACGACTTAAAGAATGTAATAACAACTTAATGGTTGGTACTCACTAAATGACTCATGGCTAAAATTAAGTGATTACAAGATCAGTTCTGTAGAAGATGGGTCCTTTAGAAGATGAATTCTATAGGTAATGACTAACTGTAAGCACTACTAGTATCTTTATAACCCCAACCCTTAGCCCAGCTGCTGACATGCCAGAAAAACATGCGTTTTATCAGGGGCAGCTGATAAGAAATAAGGCAGCAACAATTAATGGAAGAATCAATTCTATGTAGGAAAAATTAATCAGCGACTCTCAAATTAAGTTTAGGTAATATGGTATCACAACCAAGGAAACCTGTCTATACTCGAGAGGTGCAGTTTTCCCCTTCAAACTCTACACCTAAAACTGGAGGCAAGAAGTGTTCATAACAACTTAGGTAATTCTTCAGTGTTCATCTTAATCATACTAATACATGTTAACCAATACTAACATAAAAAGTGAAACAAACACATAGCACCTTCTGTGTACCAGCTAACTTATGTTAACTTATTGCTCAAAACAGCCCCATGAGATAAATACTGGCACTTGCCCCACCTTACAGTTGAAGAAACTGAGGCAGAATGTGGTTAAAATTCTTGCCCCCAAGCCATATAGGCAGCAAGTAGCAGAGGTAGCCAGTCTGGATCCAGAGTTGACACTTATAATAAAAATGCCAAACTTCTTCCCTGAGAAGAAATCCAGCCTCACACTTACCAAGAAAACAGATCGTATGCTGTCACAGTATTTTATCGACAGAGAGTTTTTCTCAGAGGGCTTACTGTCTGGTTGACAGGTGTGTATGTCAATATATGGCTTGGTGGCTTTAATAAGATTCAAATTCTCCATTTTAAAAAAATGGGAAATTGCAATATTAAATATGTCCATGATCAAAAGAATTAATCCAGAAATAGCAGCAAAGAGGCCCAACGAGTTCATTATCGTTTTCGCTTTGACCTGAAATGGAGACATAAAGATGTGTTATTGGGGTTTGATTTCATTTGGAGAATACAAGCGAGGAAGGAATCCCGGATCCCACCCCTCTTATTCATAAAGGCACTGCACCCAGATCATACTAAGCCACACTTCCCCAAGTGGTTTTTAATGCCCTTGTCACCGTAAAATGAAAACCTTCATCTCTCACTCCTGTTCCTTCCTCAGTCTTCCCCGTCTCATTTTACCCCATCACATTCAATCAGTTTATCAAGAGAAAATTTTAGGAATAATCCTAAATTCTTCTATTTTGTACCCTTGCGGTTCCTTTCACTGCCCCTGCCACCGTGCTGGTTGTCGTTTGGTAAATATTGGCTAAGTGAACATAAATAGTCTTCAGGTTATATCTGTCTGTGTTAGAAGCTAGAGGGAAGAGAGGGAAGGATGTCCGTCCATCACATTGAAGTGGGCTCGTACTGTGGGTGTGGGGAGAGAAAGAGCAGATGGAGCCCTCCGGGTCTGTACCATCAAGTAGAAACTAACAGTAGCGAGAACAGCCCCACCTACTCTTATTGACATGGGTTGCAGTCAACCTCAGTCTACCATCTTTGAAAACATAATTAGGGCTGATGCCTCTGGGTAGCATAGGGGAAGGGTGTCAGAATGAGTATTCTACCTACAGAGATGATAGAAGGTCAAAACAGGAAAGTATAAGTGAATAGTGTGGGATTGTTGATGATTATTTTAAGACCTACAATAGTTCATCCCTGGCTGAAGGACAAGTCAGTAGGACTTGCTGTATCTGGAGAATAAAACAACTTTATCTTCATAAACATTTTTTTTTTTTTCAAAAACTGAGTTTATTGGACCACCTCTAGAGAGGAACCATTTTCAATCCACTCCATCCATCACTGACTTTGGGAGTGTCACAAGTTAGTAATAATAGCTTATTATTAGTAAGTATAAAAAACTCGGAGGAGGAAACTTGCTGGTAAGCTCATGACCTAGGTGTAAATGTGTTGGGAAGGCTATTGGATGAGACCCTCAATAGCTCCTTATGTAGCCTCTGAAGCATGCTCATGTATATTACTCCATTACATCCTCATGACAATATGGTAGCACCGTTTTATAGAGGTACATAGAGGTAAACTGACTAGCTCACTGCTGAGTTAATCACAGTGTTGAGTTAATCACAGTGTTGAGTTAATCACAGTATTGATTAGAGTTTTCCTAAATGGTGGTCTAAGAGAACTGACACAGCTTTCAAAGAGATCTGTTAGTCTCAACGCGTTTAACATCCATAAGACCATAAGCATGTTGCTGTTCATCGGTCTGCCTTTAATTCTGTTTCCGTGGACATAATTCAGGTAGGTCTCATTTCCAAGTTTTTCATGAATACAGTCACAACAGCTTTGTAGAGGATCTTTTGCCTTTTGGGATTAGGAGAGAACTCAGTGCTACTGTGATTCCAAAGGTGTGGAACAGTTTTTGTTTTCAACTGAGAAAGTAGGTCTTTCTCTGACGTGTGGGGAAGAAGGACATAAGATTACTTGCCAAGCTTTTCCTGGGGTTTTTCTCCGCTGCTACCAGGAGTGATCCAGAAATGATATACTGTGAAAAGAGAGGTGGTAGGTGGGGAAGACATGAGGTACATGGGAGAAGAGGCAGACAGGGAGGAAGGCAGAGAGGGAGATCACTTTTAACATGGAGAACTGGTTGTTAGAAATCTATCCATACTTCCAACCACTTTCACCAAACCGTCCAGCCATTTTTGCAGTATTCATTCATTTTTCAGCAGTCGTATTTCCCCTTTGTTCACGCCCAGCTATATTTAGTTGATGCCTTTTATGCAACCAACTGGGAAGCTGTGACTAGGAATATAGTAAGACCAGAGGCAAAACCCAAGTTTTCGTGTCAATGAATACTAACACTGAATTTACAAGCTTTATTTTTAGTTTCTCGTTTTTCTTTTTTAAATTTGTGGAATTTCTCTTTGGAGTTCACAGTGATTTCAGTGATTCTGATGCCAGTGAAGAATGAATCAACGTGGCCTGAATGCCATGGGCACTCCATTAAAACGTTTGCTGCTACAGGAAGTGATGGTGATTATTTCCCATCTTCCTTGTTTAAGCTATGAAATGGAGGGAACTCTTGTTCTCATCCATCTCTCTTTGTTCTGAACATCTCAATCCTGGGCATATCTTTTTAGTAGTAACTATGAAAGTATAATGGGGATATAAAGGTGCCCGCTCCAGACTACACCCAGACAAGTTACAAGCTTGGAAAACGTGCACAAAACAGCCGTAAGGATTGCTGCTCTGCTGATAAGCCCAAGCAGATTCATTTGCGATGGGACTGCTTTCACCACCTGAGACAGTAGCTACACAGAACTGTAGGAAGAAGGAACAGGTGGGAGGAAATGGGATGCGCCTGCTCCTTCCTGCTTCTGGAACCACCCTGTTGTACAGTCCACATGTTTAGTGTCCTTCTCACCCCTCTCCACATTGATTTAGGAGAGTCCTGCTTTGAACGATCTTCCTTCCCTGTGTAGATCCATGCAGGGCATCTCTCTCTGAATTTACATGAGGTGTGACCACTGACTCCATGGGATTCATGCTCAATTCAGTCAACCTCTCTTTCCACTAAATTACTTTCACCTCATAAGCTATTTCCCAGCCACATACTTTCCTCAACCAGAAATAATCTCGCATGTTACTGTGGAGCTTTTAAACCTCTTTGTCTGCATCACTACCCTAATGGCTGTTAGCTGTTACTCACCAGAATACCTCCCCAGAGAGGGTACCACACAGTCATACAGATGGGTGCATAGACCTCCATGTGGATCATCAGGAGGCCACCTAGGGCCATGTGGAAGAGCCCATTCATAATCTGGACAGCCTGTAGAGAGAATAAGGGGACTGATGAGGAACTGGAGTCATCATCAAGTCAGAAAGCGAAAGCTGGTGGCCCTGGCCCCTGACCTGGGACTGTGTAAAATGCCTAAAGGAAGTGGCCAAGGTGCCAAGACCTTTGTCTTGTTCAGATCCACTTTCCTCATCACCTGGGACATTTCCAAGACAGATACGTCTGGGATGCTGGTGACAAACTGGGATGTGAGACCCTTAAGTATGCAGACTGCAAAATCCAAAGGAGATGTAAGATCACTGTGACATCTCTGCACATCCCCGATTTGGCACACTGTGTCGGACATAAAGGACACCTCATGTTGGATCAACCACCTTCTAGTTGGATTGCATTCTGTACCTGGCTTGTAGCCTCTGCCTGTTGAGGCCAGAGAGTCTTTACGATATGGACTGGAGTGCAGCTGACTTACCCCCAGTGGCTTAGATTCCCTCATGAAGAAGCTTTGTGTAGGGCCCACCACTGAAGACATCTTTTTGGGAATTATTTTTTGAACAGGATGCATGGCAGTCGGGCCTTTCATAACATCTTCTGGGAGAGTCCCACTCATCGAATTTCTGGGTGTCGCCATTTCACCCTCAGAACTCCTAAAAACAAATAATAAAACAGGAAGAGGGAGAATAGGATTTTCAGCAGTCTTTTGTCTCCTGTATCTTGAGTACTTTCCCCTATATTCTCTCCATGAGTGTCGTTGAGAGTAGACATGGACTTTTGCCAGTGGCTTTGGGTCTGAGGCCGAGCCTACTGCTGTGTTCTAAGACAAGATCTGAAGGGGGCATCTCAGGCAAGGACACAGGGCCCCTGGAATCCCTGCCAGTATTCTCAACAATGATGTCTGGTGCATCCTTTATTGCCGAAGAGAACGCCATGCTCATGTGTCTACATGCCCTGTTTGTCTCTCGTCCCTGAACGCTTTTCTTATGCTCTCATGTTGGAAAGTGTATTTTGTATTGACTTCTCCTTGTCCTTTGGCTTCTCAGCGTTTGTACATTGTGATGGGCCAGAGGCATCATGAAACATAAGTGTCTGACTTCGGCTCAGGTCATGATCTCGTGGCTCAGGAGTTTGAGCCCTGCGTTGTACTCTGTGCCGACAGAGTCCCTCTCTCTCTCCAGTCGTTCTCTCTCTCTCAAAAATAAGCATTAAAAAGAGAGAGTATGGTGAGGACTGTCCTTCGAGTTAGCAGAGGCCGATTCTAGTCTTCCTTTACCACCAACTCTGCAACCTTGAGTAATCACTTTAAGGAGGCTCTCAGAGGTTGTACATAAGACTGTGGCCTCCTGACATGGGTTGTCTAGGTTTAAGTCAAATTCTTTTTGTGGTGAAACTACAGGCAAGTTCTTTAAACTCTGGGCCTTACACCTTTCAGCTATAAAATGGGAATAATAGTTCTTGTCTTACGGTACAGGGTTTCTGTAAGACTCAGATGGACTGATGTCTGTGTGTGGCTGGTGGCTTTTCATTGAGCATATCTCAAAGGTCAGCTCCTCAGAAAAGCCTTCCGCAAATCCTCAGTCCACAGCGCAGCCTTTTTCACAGCGTCCATTTGATTTGTGTACGTGGCACATAACACTGTGGGGAATTACCTTGTTTATCTGCTTGCTTCTTTATGGCCAGTCTCTTTCCACTAGAATATAAGTGCCCTCAAAGCAGAGACCTTGTCTCTCTTGCTTAATCCAAGCGATGCCTGGATTGAATAGTTTCTTAAAATTGCCCAGGAAATAAATGTATGTAAAGCCCCCGTATCTGAATAATCATGACCTGTTTTTGTTGCTCTTCTGGTTTTCAGTATCATTACCTCTATAAGCATTAGTTTCTATTTTTTCCCCTCATGGGGAAAATGAGAACATCCCTGTCACAGACATGTTGTGGGAAGTAAGTTCAGACATGAAAATGCCTCCTACGTGGGGAGAAAGTGGCAGTTGCCATTTGTTCTTAGAATTCATGATTTATTCATTTCTCAGGTTGGTGATTATTACCAAGACCCTTTCCAGCTCTCATGGGTTTTTTGTTTGTTTAAAAAATTTTTTTTTTTACTGTTAACTTATTTTTGAGAGAGACAGAGCGTGAGCAGGGGATGGGCGGAAAGAAAGGAAGATACTGAATCTGAAGCAGACTGAAGGCTCTGAGCTGTCATCAGCACAGAACCTGACATGGAGCTTGAACTCACACACCATGAGATCATGACCTGAGCCAAAGTCAGAGCTTAACTGACTGAGCCACTCAGGCGCCCCCCTTCCCCTCCCCCAGCTCTCATGTTTTAGGACTGTTCAACTTTCTTCATCTTGCACTTTCTCTTGGCATTTATATGTTTATGTCAGTTACTTACATGGAATCTATCAGGTCTTTCCTGGGCCCTGGAACTCTCTTTAGATACGCATCTTGGGTCTCGTCTTTGTTGGCTGTAAGTCACTAAGGAGCCTTGGAGACCAAGACTGTCCAGCTTGCGTGGTACTATACAACGGTGCCTGTACCGAGCCTGGCACTGTGGTATAGGACAGGCACTTGGGAGTCACCCAGGCCTCACCTTTGCACCCAGTGTGTAGTTAACAAAGAGGTTTCACGTCCGCAGTTCACTGAAGTCTCCCAGAGTAGACAAGGGGTGGATCATTGCTACTGTTTTGTAGAAAAGGTGGCCAGGGCACAGAATAGTTCAGTCCCTCGTTCCCAGTTCCACGACTACTGGAGATCAAAAGCGAGGGCTTGGACCTATCCAACGAGGTATCTGTGGCTGCTTTGTCCCCTGTGTGGGACAGGGGGTCAGCCTTTCACTTACAAACCTCTGCCTTCTTCAGCTGTGTGTGCTGTCTGGATGACTATAAAGTGATCGAAGCCCGAATACCTGTCAGGACGACAGGGGAGGCTTCGGCTTGGTGCTCTGCACTTGATCCCACCCTACCTGCCAATCCCCAGATGTCGTGTGGTTTGGGAGGTCTTGGTGCTTTGCACACAAACTACCCGACAAGACCCCTAGCAAATGGGAGTGCAGTAAAGCAGGCCGCTGCGGAGCCTCCGGGTGATTCTGGCCAGCAGGCAGGACTTGGGGAGCTGGTCAGAACCTCTGAAACCATCCTGGTCATTCGACAAATGAGGAAACCGTGGCCCGGGGATGGGCTGCGCCTTGTCACAGACCTTACACTTGGTGACAGAGCCAACCAGAAGGCAGTCACTGTGGCTCTGAGGCCGGTGCTCTCTGCTGCCCCACGGCCACACCACGTCGTGTTGTTGTTTATGGAGCACCTCTGTGTGCGGGGGTTACTGCACATCCAGCCCCTGGGCGCCCCACACCTGTCTTACCCAGAAGGCATCTTGTCTTTTTTTTTTTTTTTTTTGCAGATGTGGACATGCAGGTTCAGAGGTTTCCCATTTGTAGGAAGGGAATGGGCCGGGAGTCACCACACTCCTCTCCCAGAGGACTCCTTTTAGCGAGGACAGCTTAAAGAGCAAAGGGCATCAATTATCTGGACAGAAGGAGAGGACAGGACTAGTGTTGTTTGGATTTCGCCTTATTTTTCAGCTGCCTAAGGCTGAGTCACTCTTACTGGTGAGATAAACCTCTCAACCTAAGCAAATTCTACTGTGGCTCTATCTGTAATGGCTGATGGCAGTAATGACCACTGTGGGAGGGGGGGAATATTTTATTTCGCTGTTAAAAATGTCTCAGGGCACCTGGGTGGCTCAGTCGGTTAAGCGTCTGACTTTGGCTCAGGTCGTGATCTCACAGTTTGTGAGTTCGTGCCCCTCATCGGATTCTCTGGCATCGGTGTGGAGCCCGCTTGGGATTCTCAGAATTCTCCCCCGCCCCCCCCCCCCGTCTCTCTCTGCCCCTCTCCCATTTGCGTTCTCTGTCGCTTCCAAAAGAAATAAATGCACTTAAAAACATGATGCCTCATTATGGCAACTATCCTTCAACACATATTACTGTAAAATAGTAGTTTATAAACACAAACATACCCATTTCTATGTGCTATTTCATTTTGTATGGAAATAAACTTTCTAAAACACATACGTATTTTTATGCGAGGGCATCGTAGAAGACTAGGAACTGAAAATCATCATTGTGTGGGAATACATAAAATTAGGCCACATATTCCCAAGGATATTGTAGATTCCTGCAGCTTTTCCCCATCATTGTTTCTTAATTGTTTACGATGACTTAAACAGGGCACAGCACACGGCTCTGCTCAAAGCCTAGGTGGTATATCCACCGGGGTGACTGAGCACATTGGCCCAAATGCGGTAACAGTAGGATTTTGTGCTCACTAAACTATATCACCATCAGGGCTCCGTTTCCCTGACACTGCCCCCACTTTATTGCAGTGACTTCTGCAAATCTCTTCTGGTTTTTAAAAGGCACCACCACTTCTGGGTGCATCCGCTGCAGAGCAGTCTCACTGCCTTTATGGGTTTTGGTTTGAATAATGACTTTTTAGGTCCAGTAATTACATCATTTAATGAGAAGTTCAAAGCTGCCTAGCTTTCGTTACCTCAACTTCCTCCCCTGCCACTCAAAATAGTTCTGCATTTCTGTCCTTTCTGGTCCTGTGCGCTGAGGTCCCAGGAGGAATGTTCTCACTTCCATTCCATTCCCTCTGCCTGGGCTCCCCAGCCCGTCCCCAGCCCCTCTCCTTCCTCCAGGACATCAGTCCCAGAGAAAGCGGGTCTTGCGTCTTCAGTCTGTGTGCATAGAAGGTGCTAGTCCCAGCTCTGCGGCTGGCTACTTCTGTGATCTCACTACTCAAAGTACTGTCCGAGACCATGGGAGAATTTGCAATGTACAATGTACTAAATATTCAAAGGATACCTGTATCTTTTGTAGGATTACAATGTGCTGCAGCATTCCTTTCCCAGAGCCCCTTCCTTTAACCCAGCGGCCACTGCCCTGGCTCCCCTCTGTCACCCCCGCGTCTTCAGAGCCTACCCTTCCCCTCTGTTCCTCCACTTGCTCACCACCCACCCTTCTGGGGGCCTCACAGCCTGTGGGCAGAGGTGCTGGGCCGAGGCTGCTCTACATGGAGTCAGCGGCCTTTCATCAGGCACGAGCGCTCAGATGGCTTTATTCCTGTCCCCCTGGACCCAGGCTCCAAGAGTCAGAGCCACGGTTCTCTCCAGGCCATTCACCTCCATGCCCAGTCAGGGCCCAGGTCCTGCGGCCTCTTCCTCTGTAAGGTTTCTTATCTTGGGCCACTAAACCAGGCCCCAAATCACTACTTTAAGTCCTGCTCGTCCTGAGCTTCAGCTCTCTGTCTTGCTGTCATGGCCTCCTGGCCATTCCTCAAGGGCTGTCACGCTAGGGTGACATGGAGAACCTGTTGTCCATGCACCATGAGCTTAATAAACATTAAACTGAACGACTTCCTCCAGGAAGATTCACACAGAAACATGCAGGATGTTGGACCAAAAGGTGATGGTTTCACCCCACCTGATGATCAGTGACATCAGGCCGTTCCGTGGAAAACGGGAAGGCAGTCACATTATATGCTGGATTCAGGGAACAGTTATGACTGGGCTAAAACTCATCTTTGTTGCCCTTCATTAGCTCTTCCTCCTCTGCAGGGCCCACTCTCACTGCAGGCTTCTGTGATGGCTTTGAGGTGGGATTTTGTGCTCAGTTTGATGTCCTCCACACCCCCCTCCCCCCGTCATTCGTTCCCCTGCAGAAAATGTTAGCCTGTGAGGTTTAACTACATCGAAGGGTATTCACATTTAGCAGCGTATCTTTGGAGACAAAATCATTCAAAGCAAAAGAAATGGAAATATTTTCATTATAGCCATGGCTGATTATTTTCTTCTTCAGTGCCAAGGGTTCTGAGAGCTTTGGGCTGTTAGCTCAGTTAACCATACATAAAGCGGTGGGTGTTAACCATCGCTTCCATCTTGTGGGCAAGTAAACCCAGGAATGTAGGAGTTTGGTAACTCGCCTGCGGGCTTATAGGTGGCGGAGCTCTGGTTTGGGCCCAGCAGAGTGGTAACCACGCTCCCGTCTACATGCTTCAGTATGCTGCTTTTGTTCAGTGACTCCCAGTTCACTGGCCAGGGTCTTTCTTGAGAGATGGAGTGGCTCAGGAAGTAGGTGGGCAGCAAAGCCTTGTACCCTTCCTCAAATTGCGACACTGTCAGAAAACCTGACCGGGGAAGGCCTAGGGTGAAAGCCAAGAATCTCTAGTCTCCAAAACCATACTATGCTTTAGGCATCACTCCCTTGTAGTCATTTAAAAAAAAATTTTATTTATTTATTTTGAGAGAGAGAGCGCATGCAGGAAGGGCAGAGAGAAAGCACGCAGGAAGGGCAGAGAGAGAATCCCAAGCAGGCTCCACACCGCCAGTGCAGAGCCCACCACGGGGCTCTAACCCACAAACCGCGAGACCATGACCTGAGCTGAAATCAAGAGTTGGGTGCTTAACCGACTAAGCTATTCAGGCGTCCCCTTTTTAGTCGCTGAAACAAAGCAAACTGGTCCCTTACCTGAATGTCTGAGGCCTTTGGTCTCGAGGCTGGTTTGGATGCTGGCTGCCAAGTTCACTTCCACTGCTGATGTCTTGGGTACACAGGAGGTGAGTGACACAGGGCAGGCCTGGGGCCTCTGATAGATACCAGGTGACAGGAAATCAGTGGCTTCTGCTACCTTGGCCTTTGCCCCAATCACTTTGGTTTAATGCACACATGCCAGAGCCAAAGGATGTACAGAAAAGTTTCTGCCTTACCACGAGGTTTCACTTCTTGAAAAGGGTCCTGGGGGACTGCCTGGCGTACTTTACGCTACCCTAATTAGAAGAACTTTGCAGCCCCCACCCTGTAAGCAGGTGTGGATGGTGGGTCCCCAAGGGCAAGAAGGGCTCTAGAAATTCTCTACAGATGGGCTGCTAGGACTTTTACCTTTTTACTTCACTTTTAGGAGCGAGGAGGTGGGAAGAAGGCATTCAAGCAGAGAGATTCAGGAATCAGGATGCCTGGTCGCTTTGGAGTATTGCAGGTATCCCTCTGCAAATATTGTCCACATTTGCCCGCACTTAAGGTCCTCGTGGGAGCATGTATGTCTCATGTGGGATTTTCTAGGAATGGCCTAAAATATAGCTTGGTGTTGGAGAGCACGTCCCCAGAAGCTTGAGGCAAGAGCTGCATGATTTGGGATACAAATTCGAGTTGCACATTTACCTACAAACTCACTTTTCCCTCCATCTTTCTGACTCCCTTGCATCCCCTTTCTTTTCAGTCTGGCCTGGAGCTGTGCCAGGCATAGATCAAATGAGGGATGGAGGATGCCGGTGGCCAGGAGAGTATGAACATTTGGAAAAGGAATTTTTGCCCGAAGCTTTTATGCCTCCACCATATACAACCTTTATGCTCATACTGCTGGATTTTTTCTTCTTGCTTTTTAATTTCCTTGTCCATTGTTTTATCTTATTAGGGACTCAGGGCCATAACTAGGCAATTTTTTGCCTAATCAAAAGGGCCAAAATGTGGCAGCTCTGCCGCCAAATCTGAGGTTAATTCCTGTTTTCCCTCCATCTCTTCCTCTCTCCCTCCCTTTCTCTCCCTCCCTCCAATCCTTTCTCTCCTCTCCTCCTCCCTCCCTCCCTTCTTCTTTATTTCTCCTTCAGACTCTCTTCTTTTTCTTTAAGATGGTTCAGATCAGAGAGTCATAACCAATGGGTAGTAGTAGTTCTGGAGTGGCTGGTCTGGGTGCAACATAAAACCAAATGCCAACTCCCCACCATTGAAGGAGTCCATCAGTGGAACAGGCTGCCATTTGAATAGAGGACTTGCAGTCATCAATGTCCATGATGAGTGAAAGGCATGCAGTCGCTTCTCATACATTTCATAGAAGAGGAGTGGAAACATAGGCTCCACCATCCATCTAAGATTCTGGTTGTGGCTCTGAGGATCTGCTGAAGTGCTTGAATGGTTGGTGGCAGGGATGATAATTACACGAGACCGGAGTTATAGATGATGGGGAGGTTGTGAGCTTGGAGTCCAGGATGGCGGGTGGTCATTGGAGCCCACCTTCATTTCAGTGAGCATGGAAACAGGGTCCGGGCTTGGCACATGTATGGAATCAGTGAGGCTCGGACTGGGCTTGCACAACCTGAATTTCACATCCTTTTTTCGTGTAGGCCCTGTTCTTCCCATGTCTGTCTCAGAGTGTTTGCTACCCTGCCTTTGGTGGCCAGTGACATCAGTTAGGTGGCTCTATGTGTGATCCCTCCTGAATAAACTTGAATTTGAATCTATATAAACAAACTTTCACTTTACCTTTGCTGGTTTGGATTGATTAATCTTCAGTGCTCGAGTGTCTTGACATCCCCGCCACAGTTTGGATTTGTCAGTAGCCTTTGCTCTATAATATTTTTTCTCTCTGTAATATTTGAGGGTATTAGTTCTATTACACATTTAAAAATCTCTCCCCCTCTGAATTAAACCTCCTGTCTTTACCTGGCTGCTTTCTTGCTTCCTGATGATGATCTTTCTTAAAATCTACACAAAAGTTTATTAACTAAACTTTAATTTAGTTCCATTTGCCTTCCTTTTACCCCCTTACCTCCTAACATACCTACCTTTTTTTTTCTTTTTTTTAATCCTTGGGACGTTTTGCCTCTCTTATGAAAATTATGTCCTATATCACAATGATTTCTGTCCCTGCCTTACTCAGTTGTTGGTCTCTATGTCCCTTGAAAGCAGGGCCAGTTTTTCTGATTGCTGAGACGCGGTGGTTCGGTTTTGGTTCTTTGTCCCCATCCAGATGATTATCACAATGCTATCCAGCATCAGGGGGTAATATTATGGTGCGTTTCCCAAGACAAGGCGCCGCTCAGCAAGACATTGGGACCTCGAATTATCTGGTGTTGGAGGGTTTCGGTTTCAGAGAATTGGCGAGGCAGAAGCAGGGTTCCTCAGAGGCGAAACTAAAGGTCTTTCTGCAGACAGATCTTGGTTATGACTTAGAAAATGTCAGTATTGTATTTGTAAATCATTGATGCTAAAGGAAAATGTAAATTCCAGTGGGTAAGAGCTTTGTAGTAAGTGAGGTCTTCCTTCTGATCTGAGGAACTGCTTTATATTTTTAACAGGCAGTAGCATTAGTTGAGCACCTACTTATATGCCAAGCACTGTCCACATAACACCTGTAGTAGTGATTCCATTTTATAATTGTGGAGACGAACATTCAGGAAATGAGGAAAACTGGCCCCAAGCCACATAAGTGACCAAATGTGATGTTTAGAAAGCAAGAAACCCTCAATTATAAGTTTAAAAGAAATTCTGCCATTTACTACCTGAGTTTTAAGTTCCAGGCTCTGGTTAAATTAGTTCACATTTCATTTAAGGCTCCTGGTAACCCCATTCAGTAGGTATTATTGTTGCATTTTAGTCTAGGAATTTAAAGCTCACAAAGGTTAAATGACTTGTCCAAGTCATTAAGCTTTAAATTGCAAAACTCACATTTAGACCTAAATCTGACTTAAAAGGCCTTAGCGTTAGGCGATGGCCTTCGCACCCTTAAATAGATCTCATATATCCACATATCTCAACCTTACCTGGGTGCCAGGTAGTTTTCATCAGAACATGACTCCACTGGAAATAAATATTTTAAATAAAGAAACTATTTCTCATCAGAATCTTACTCCCCTGACTCCTGCCCTCACACATGGACGCCTAGGCCTTTCTCCTTCCAGCTTACGTCCGAAACGAAAACCCAGTAGTTGATTTCTTTGCCTAGGCTAAACGTTTTCCGTGCCAAAAGCAGCAAGGGATAATGAGATTTGGAGTTCGGAGTCTTGCTTCAAATCGTGGTTCTAAATCTTACTCTCTTTTGTGGTCTGAGAAAACTCAACCACTTTGAGCTTCGGTTCTCATGCTTGAAGTGCATGCTGGATGTGCCTACCTCGGAGGGCTGTCCTGACAGGTGGAAGATCCCCAGCGCTTAGCAGGTACTGCCAGCGGAAGGAAATGCAGTGTAAGGCAGCCGTCTCTGCATGCAGCCTGGGAATCTCCCGGCGTCCTTGAGGCTCTTGGAGGGTATCTGTGACCTCAAGACAACTTTCAGAATAATACTAAGACCTTAGTTCCCCTTTCCACAAGTTCAGAGCGGTCGTCTCCACAGAACACAAGCCATCACATCAGACTGAGTGCAAAAGCAGTTACCAGAATCCAGTTACCTTCCGTTAAGCTAGGGAGAAGCTCTGCACTGGAATCACCTGGAAAGCTGTACAAATTATTGATTCCCAGCTCTCACCATGTTCTTATTTGATTGCCATCGGGTGGTATGTGGTGCATTAATGGGGGGGGGGGGCATTTATAAAAGTTGCTCGGCTGATTTGAATGTACAGTAAAGTTAAATGGGCATTTGATTTTCAATGGGTACAAAGTTTTTGTTATGCAAGATGAGTAAGTTCTAGAGATCTGCTGTACAATAGAGTACTCAGTGACTAATACAGAATTGTACACTTTAAAATATGTTAAGAGAATAGACCTCACATTAAGTATTCTTGCCAAAAAAAAAAAAAACCAAACAAACAAAAAACCCCACAAAAGGGCACAAGGAAATTTTTGGAAGTGATTAATATGCTGAGTACCTTGATTATGGTAACAGCATCAGGGAATATGTATACATTAAATGTGTGCTTTTTTTGGTATATAAACTATACGTTTAAAAAGCTAAAAATAAAAAGAATGTTAAACAACCTAAAAAAAAAACCCAAGACCATTTGTAAAACTATGTAACAGTACCATTCTCCACGCTCATTTTCTGTTTTCTTTTGAAAGAAATGTTATGTTAATAAAATGTTACGTTACGAAACCATTACCTGTGTAATGTGTACTGAGTCTTGAATCAGTTTTTCAGAGTGTAAAGGGGTCCTGAGACCAAGAGTTTAAGGGACGTTGGTACAGGGCTGTAGGGATTAAGAGCTAGACCACCCGCTGCTCTCGTGGCTCTGCCATTACAAGTCTTGTCACCAGGGCCACTTTATTTACCCTCTCTTGACTTCAGCTCCCTTGCCCGTGAAATGAATATAACAGCAACAGTCACCTCTTAGATTTTTTGTGAGGTTAGATGAGTCACACACTTAAAACCCTCAGCACAGTGCCTGGACCGCTCTAGTGGCTTTTACCAATATATACCCTCACTGTTAACCCTTCTGGTCATTATGAGTGGCTGGCATTGATGATCTTGCAGTATCATTGTCAAATGTGTGGGCCGAACCATTCTTCCAGCCAACTCATTTTCCTATACAACCATGGAGAAGGAGCCGCTAGGTAGAGTTTCTTGCACAAATCAGCAGGACACATCGTGGACCCGGTCACTCCACACCGTGGGCTTTGGTTCATTTCTCTGTTTGTACAGTGGTGATGCCACATTGCTAGCCTTCAGTTCAGTGGATGGGTGACTAACCAGGGGCGGCAGCAAGTTGACTGTGTGGTTTGGGGAGAGGAGAACATGGCATTGCAAAGAGCAGGATGTGTTTTATTCACCAGAATGTTCCCAGAGCCCACCCTCTGAAGTCATTCCCCTTTGGCTTCAGACAGTTGCCAGCCTTAAGAGTCTATGTTCCTGGGGTGCCTGGGTGGCTCAGTCAGTTAAACATCCAACTTCTGCTCAGGTCATGATCTCACGGTTCATGGGTTCGAGCCCCCTATTGGGCTCTGTGCTGACAGCTAGCTCAGAGCCTGGAGGCTGCTTCAGATTTTGTATCTCCGTCTCTCTCTGACCCTCCCCTGCTCACACTGTCTCTGTCTTTCAGAAATAAATTTAAAAAACATTAAAAAATTATAAAAAAGATTCTATTTTCCGTCTGGCTTCTCACAAACAGAACTCACTCTCGGTGATATTATAAGACATCTTTATTCCCACAGTGCGCTTCAGCCCCATTAGTCACAATTGCAACAATAAAAGCAACTCCTCAGAATTGAGAAAGACAGAGAGATGAATAATTCAATAATGCTGAAGGCCATCAACATAATCAAAATTCCCTAGAACAGAAGAAAGAAAAAAAAAAGAATCATAGTATTAGCACAATAATGATTATTCTGATGACAGGTAGAAATGTCCAGGTCAAAAAAGCCCTCCCATATGTCTCGAGTGGATCTGATGCTTATGAAGTTAATTAGGGGAAGATCATGAGAATATACAGCTATTTTAACACAGCACAGGACAGCCTATTATTTTCTTAGAGAAAGTCGTACAAAACAATATATGTTCTGTATTATATGCAGGAAATGCTCTATTTCATAAATATATACAGGTACCCAAAAAAATGATGTCAAAAAAGCGGTCTGTTGAAGGAGACAGATTAAGACATAGGAAAAAAATAGAAGCAAAAATAGAAAAAGAAAGTAAGTAGAGGGGAGAAACCCTACAGACCCAGAAAAAAGAGGAACATGTAGAAAAAGGCGTATAGAACAAAGCATGGGCTAATAGTACCATCTTCTGTTCTTTTTATAACTGCCAGAGACCTTTAAAATGCTTTGTATCTTGGCATCAAAGAGCATGAACAGGATATACACTTTGTTAGGAGCCCAGAGGCGGGACACACAGGTGTTGTGCCAGTGAAAGTTTGTGAAGATCATAGGGCTGACATTCTGTTCTGCAAGTCTGTCTACATGTTTTGAGGATATGTTGAAAACCTTGTTTATTTTAGAGTCACATGGTTTTTATTTTATTTATTTATTTATTTTTAATGTTTATTTATATTAGAGAAAGAGTGCATGAGCAGGGGAGGGGTAGAGAGAGATGGAGACAGAATCTGAAGCAGGCTCCAGGTTCTGAGCTGTCAGTCCAAAGCGGGGCTTGAACCCATGAGCCGTGAGATCATGACCTGAGCTGTAGTTGGACACTTAACCGACAGAGCCACCCAGGCACCCCAGGCACCCCTCTTTTTTGTTTCTCAGTAGCATCCTGTTGTTTGAATAATCAGTTTCTTTAGCCACTCTGTTGTTGATAGACATTTGAACTGTTTCTGGTTTTTACTATTAGAATAGGTTTTCTATAAATATTTTTATATTTCTTGTTGAGACATAAAATAGGCCTGATTAATTTTGATAAAAACTACCAAATAGTTTTCCAACGTGGTTCGGTCATTTTACATTCCCACCAAAAATGTATAAGATTTCTATTTGCTTTGCATTTCTGCCAACATTTGGTTTTTCCAGTCCTTGTAATTAAAGTCATTCTGATGTGATACAAATATTGGGTTTTGAATTTGCATTTCTCTCATAACTAATAATGTTGAGCAAATCTTTTCATGCTTACTGGCCATTGGCAGGTCTTTCTTTGTGAAGTGCTTGTTCAAATCCTACTCTTTTTTTTCTTTTTTTTGTCTTTTTATTATTGATTTTCAGGAGTGCTTAATATCTTCTGGATATGGGTCTTCAGTCAGAGAGATGTATTGAGGAGATTAACTCCCATTCTGTGCCTTGCCTTTTCATTTACTTTTTTAAAAAATTGAGTTATAATTGGTACATAACCCTGTGTAAGTTTAGGGTATACAATATGTTGATTGATAGACTTAAATATTGCAGTATGATCCCCGCCTGGTTAGCTAATACTTCCATCATGTCACCTAATTGTCAATATATTTTTTTGTGGTGAGAACATTTAAGATCTAATCTCTTTGCGACATTAAAGTATATAATACCGTATTGTTAACAGAAATGACATTGCTGTGCATTAGACCTCCAGAGCTTATTCATCTTCTAGCTGAAGTTTGAACTCTTTGACAGACATCTGTCCGAATTCTCTACCTCACAGTGCCTGGTAACTACCATTCCACTCTCCATTTTCATGAAGTTGCCCTTTCAAAACTCCCCACATAAGAGATAACATACAGTATTTGTCTTCCTCCATCAAGTCAGATGGAGATTTCACTTAGCATAATGTCTTCAGATTCCATTCATGTTGTTACAAATAGGTGGATTTCCTTCTTTCTCATCACTGAATAATATCCCATTGTAAGTGTACCACATAAATATCTGTTGATGGACATCTTGCTGGTTTCCATGTTTTGACTATTGTAAATAAGCTGCAGTGAATATGAAGGTGCTCATATCTTTTGGAGTTAGTGTTTTCTTTTCCTTCTTATACATACTCAGAAGTGGATTTACTGGATCACTTAGTAGTTTTATTTTTAATTTTTTGAGGACCCTCTGTATTGTTTTCCATGGTGGCTGCACCAATTTACATTCCCACCACCAGTGTACAAGGGGTCCCTTTTCTCCACAGCCTCACTGACTCTTGTTATTTCATGCATTTTAGATAATAGCCTTCTAACAGATGTGAGGTGATATTTCATTGTGGTTTTGATTTGCATTTCCCTGATGACTCATGATATTGAATACCTTTTCATGTACTCGTTGGTCTTATGTATATCTTCCTTAGAAAATGTCTATCCTAAAATTTGTATGGAACCACAAAAGACCCTGAATAGCCAAAGTAATATTGAAGAAGAAAACCAAAACGGGAGGCATCACCATCCCAGACTTTAGCCTCTACTACAAAGCTGTCATCATCAAGACAGTATGGTATTGGCACAAAAATAGACACTTAGATGAATGGAATAGAACAGAGAACTCAGAATTGGACCCAAAAATGTACAGCCAACTAATCTTTGACAAAGCAGGAAAGAGTATCCAATGGAAAAAAGACAGCCTCTTTAACAGATGGTGCTGGGAGAACTGGACAGCAACATGCAGAAGAATGAAAGTAGATCATTTTCTCACACCATACACAAAAATAAACTCAAAATGGATAAAGGACCTGAATGTGAGACAGGAAACCATCAAACCCCTAGAGGAGAAAGCAGGAAACAACCTCCTTGACCTCAACCGCAGCTTGACACATCCCCAAAGGCAAGGGAATCAAGAACAAAAATGAACTATTGGGTCTTCATCAAGATTAAATGCTTCTGCAAGGCAAAGGAAACAATCCATTAAACTAATAGGCAACCTAGGCAACCGATGGAATGGGTAAAGGTAGTTGCAAATGACCTATCAGATAAAGGGCTAGTATCCAAAATCTCTAAGGAACTCATCAAACTCCACACCCGAAAAACAAACAATCCAGTGAAGAAATGGGCAAAAGATATGAACAGACACTTCTCCAAAGAGGACATCCAGATGGCCAACAGATGGATGAAACGATGCTCAGCATCCCTCCTCATCAGGGAAATACAAATCAAAACCACACTGAGATGCCACCTCACGCTGGTCAGAGTGGCTAAAATGAGCAAATCAGAAGACTCAAGATGCTGGCGAGGATGTGGAGAAACGGATACCCTCCTACACTACTGGTGGGAATGTAAACTGGTGCAGCCCTCTGGAAAACTGTGGAGGTTCCTCAAAAAATTAACAGTAGAACTCCCCTGTGACCCAGCAATAGCACTGCTAGGAATTTACCCAAGGGATACAGGAGTGCTGATGCATAGGGACACATGTACCCCAATGTTCATAGCAGCACTCTCAACAATAGCCAACACGTGGAAAGAGCCTAAGTGTCCATCAACGGACGAATGGATCAAGAAGATATGGTTCATCTATACAATGGAATACTACATGGCAATGAGAAAGAATGAAATCTGGCCATGTGTAGCAACATGGGTGGACCTTGAGGGTGTTATGCTGAGTGAAATGAGTCAGGCAGAGAAGGACAGATACCATATATTTGCACGTATAGGAGGATTAGGAAGAACTTAACGGAGGACCATGGGGGAGAAGGGGAAAAATAGTGGGGGAGAGGGAGGGAGGCAAACCATGAGAGACTCTTGAATGCCAAGGACAAACCGAGGGCTGATGGGGTGGAGGAGAGGGGAAGGGGGTGCTGGGCATGGAGGAGGACACTTCTGGGGATGAGCACTGGGTGTTATATGGAAACCAACTTGATAATAAACTATTTAAAAAAGAAAAAAAAGAAAAAAAAAGAAAAATGTCTATTCAGATCCTCTGCCCATATTTTAATGTTTTCTTTCTTTCTTTTTTTTTTTTTTTTTTGCTATTGGGTTGTACAATCTCTTTATATATTTTGCATATTGGCCCCTTATTAGATATATGACTTGTAAGTATTTTCTTCTATTCCATAGGCTGCATTTTCATTTTATTGATGGTTTCCTTTGTTCTGCAGAAACTTTTTATTTTGATGCAGCCCCACTTGTTTATTTTGCTTTTAGTGCTTTTGCTTAGGGTATCAAATCCACCATCATTGTCAAGGCTGCTATCAGAGAGTTTACTACCTATGTTTTCTTCTGGGAGTTTTATGGTTTTAGGTCTTAATATTCAAGTCTTTAATCTATTTTGAGTTGATTTTTATGTATGGTGTAAGATAGTGGTTTAGTTACATTTCTTTGTATGTGGCTGTGTAACTTTCCTAATAATCATTTTTTGGAGACACTGTCCTTTCCCCATCATATATTCTTGGCTCCTTTGTGTAAATTAATTGATCGTATACACATACGTCTATTTCTGGACTCTATTCATTCCGCTGGCCTGTGTGCCTGTTTGTCTACCTTACCATGTTTGATAACTACAGCTTTGTAGTACATTTGAAATTAAGAAATGTGATGCCTTCCGCTTTGTTTTCCTTTCTCAAGATTGCTATTTGGGCTCTTTTGTGGTTCTGTACAAATTTTAGGATTAGTTTTTATTTCTGAGAAAAATGTCATTGACATTTTAGTGGGGACTGCATTGAATCTGCAGATTGCTTTGGGTAGTATGGACATTTTAACAATATTAACCCTTCCAAACCATGAACAGGGGATATCTTCCCATTTATTTGTGCCTTCAGTGTCTTTCATCAATGTCGTCAAGATCTTTTACCTCCTTGATTAAATTATTCCTAGGTACTTTATCTTTTTTGATGCAATTGCAGATGAGATTTCTTAATTTCCTTCTCATAGATCTTTATTAGTATATAGAAATGCAGCTGATCTTTATATATTATTTGGATCCTGCAATCTTACTGAATTCATTTTATTAGTTCTAAT